ATTACTACTCACTAACATTATAGTGAAGTTCTCAGGCTGAGAAAAGCTTTTACTGTAATTTATATTAAAAGAATACTTTACTTCCGGCTGAAATCTAATAATTCCGTACTTCGAAAGCTGCTTTTTTTCGTGAGTATTTTTAAAACTCGACAATCTTTTATAGTTTCTATAGAATTATTAATTTGGTTCATGAATGTAGATTTGTTTAAGTCCAATTAAAATCGAAGTTTCCTTTATGAACTTCTTTATAACGGTCCCTGGACATAATGAACGTCAAGATCCTGAGTTTTTTTTTTTTTAGAACTCTATAATACTTCATAGCTTCTATCGAATTATTTATTTATTAATTAGGTTTATGAATGCATATTCGTTTATAAATCTAATTATAGCCGAAGCTTGTCATAACTAACTTCTTTATAATGAATCCTAGAAATAACGGACGTGCAATTTTAAATTTATATTGGTTGAGGTCGGAAAGTGAAGATTTTGTATATTCAATAAGTCGATGTCATTTGTACAATATAAACAATTCATTTTAAATCTGTTCGCGATTATTATTTAGTAATTAAGTTTACCTTTAAAATATGGTTAACTATTTATTCTGGACTAATGATAGCGATTTTGACTTTTAAGTAACAATTAAGAAAGCTTTCCATTTAGCATATTAATGTGAAAATTACACCTCGGGCGTTATTTTATAGCACGCAATTTCCAGAGAGCTAAGAATTAAGAATTAATTTTGACGATAATTTTTTTTTAAAATCTTTGTTAAAATTAATGCTTAGCTCTCTGGAAATTGTCTCGAAATAACGAGCATATTTCATGACAATACGGTGATATTCAAAGAAGAAGAATAATAAAAGGATTAATGAAAGCACGAACAAGACAATTTTCCAGAAAATTGTAAGGTCGGAAGACCATATGACTGCGCCCTTGATTGGTGTTAAATTTCATCCTTTCACTCCGCTCAACTCTAGATTATTCTCTAGATTATTATACCTAAATATATTCATAGTGTAGAATAACTCTGATTCGCCTCAACTATAGTCTCTATTATATTGAATATATATACAGATAAATATAGAACTGCAAAAAAGTAGATGAACAACCTTATCGTTATGTATAATGCATCGAAAAATAGTTATGTTGTAAAGAATCATATTTGGTAAGCAATCGTCGGAAACGTTTCATATAATACACATTTTTATGTTTATTAACGTCACTGATCTCTTGTAACTCAAAAAAATAAAAATTCCGGAGTTAGTTTCCATTACTTCTAAATTACTTTATTTTACATTACATGCAGTGCAAACACATGTACATGCAGATACTTACACGTATATACAGTACATGCATTTAAATCCAGATTTGGGTGAAATTTTTAAATAAATATGCAAAATAAAATGCCTTCTAGATATATTACACATAAGCGTATAACGATAATATTTCATTCAGTCAAAGCTAAATTTGCTTTCAACAATTATACACATAATGGATAATAATGAAATACGTAGGTATTGCATACCGAAAATGTGTACAAGGTTGGCTTTACAGTTCTCCTGAACTTCGAAGCAGATTTTAGATTAGGCGAACGTAACACGATCCGGAAGATTCAAAATAATCGTTCGTTCTGCCAAAAATCGCTCATAGCTAAAAATTAGCATAAGAAATCACCTTTTATGCTCTAACGAAAAGCTTTCATTGGACTATTTTACTGTATAAACTCTCCCTCTCTAGATCCTAAGCCTGACCCTAACCCTTAACCTTAACGAATTTTAGGAATTTTTTGCGCCGCCAACTTTTTGCACATTTTCAGTATGCGTAGGTACATTTTTGTAACTGCATAAACGATTAATCAAAATTTTATTTTAAAATTTAGGATTGCTAGAGAAAATTGAATTTCAATTTGGTTTTGCTGAAAATAATGACCAATTTGAAGAAAAGCTAAAAATTTTTTTAAGTCCTGTCCTGAAAAAACTTGCAAGTCCTCATGAAAATGTGAGAAAAAAGGTAGAAACACAATTGTTGATATAATATTTTATTATTTATATAAGTTACAGATTATTATTATTATTTATTATTTTTAAATAAATCAGGTCATAGATATATTTAATCACATTAATAAAAGAATGACAAAAACTGTTAATCTTCCATGGAATTCACTTGCCGAAATTGTTTGTTCTGAAAATTTTATGGATTCTACTTTGGTTAAGAATTTTACCATTATGTATCTTAGAAAGGCTTACGATCGTCTAACTGAAAAGGTATACCATAATCTCATTCTTTTTAAAGTCCAAAATTCTATTCCCATAATCTCAACTTTTCAAGTCCAAAATTCTAAATTCTATTTTTATGAGTTTTTTTTACAAAGAATAAGATTAATATTATTAAAATCAACATAAGGAATGTTGGATTGGATTCTTGGGATTGAATTTTATTTCATTTTTTGGTTGATCCATTATTAAAAAAAGTTTAATTTTAAATTTTTTTTTCTTGAACTTCTGTAGGATAAAATTACACATCTACTGCCTTTAACTAAAAATATTGAATTGAAACCCCCTAATCAGAAAATATTTATATTCAAAATAATTCTTGAGGTGACATTTGCTTATTATACAATTTTGTATAATTACTGTAATTCATGTATATTATATGCACTTTTTTATATTTTTCACAAAAATTAAGTCCCAATTCTGCAGATTTGGAAACAAAAGAGGTTTACTATATATTTAAATAATTTTCTCATTTATATATTGTTGGAAAAACAAGAATTTTAACAAAAGTTTTATAGGTTGTGGATAGTTTATACTCACTTTATGAAATTAGCAGATCATTATCATGTACGTAATAATGGGTGGTGCTCATTTCACCGACAATCACTTCACCGACATCTTAGTTCGCCGACATTAATTCACCGACAAGTTCATTTTACCGACAATTAATTCATCGATAGCTCATTTCACCAATGTTGGCAAATGACAATATCATAATGTCATATAATATGTTTGCATGATATAGGATCATATAACTCATATGCCATATGATATAAAATCATGTCATATTATTATTATATGACATATCATATGATATTGTGATATGACAATTCATATAAGTCATATGAGT